CATCCAGTAATATTAATTAAAATATTTTTTTTAAGAAAAAAAAAAAGTCAATTAATAGTTAAATTACTGTCTCCGACAGTTAAATAACTGTTGGAGACAATATTTTAGCAACGAATACAGTAATATTAATTAAAAATGTTTTTTTAAGAATAAAAAATTACTGTCTCCAACAGTTAAAAAACTGCCGGAGACAGTAACTTAGCAACGAATACAGTAATATTAATTAAAATGTTTTGAAGAAAAAAAAAAGTCAATTAATAGTTAAATTACTGTCTTCGACAGTTAAATAATGCCGGAGATAGTAATTTAGCAGCCAAGACAGTAATATTAATTAAAATATTTTCTTTAAGAAAAAACAAAATTATATAAAAAAAAAGTCAACGGCAGTTGAGCGGCCGAAAAAAAAATTAAGGAAAAAAAAGTTTTTCAAAAAAAAAAAAAAAAGTCAACGCCGGTCAACGGCGGCGACCGGCGGTCTCCGGTGGTGGCGGGTCAAAATTGGGGTCAAAATTAAAATTAGGGTTAAAATTGGTTAATTGATTAAATTGAGCTAAGTTGGGCTGTAAATTATGAAATTGGAGTTGAATTGAGTTTCAATGAATTAGGGGTAATTTTGGTATATATAAAAAGATTTTCCTTATTTGCAAATAAGTTTGAATGGGCTGGATTTATTTGAAAGACAAAAAAAGTTGGATGTCCTTTTTTTTTTTTTTTTTTGAAAAAATGACTATTATTAGGCATAGGAAGCCACTTCAAAAGAAAGAGTATCACCCTCAACAGAGACCAAATCAGTCATTTGAGCAAGTGCATGGGCAAGACAATTGCCTTGTCTTTTAATAAAACCAAAAGAACAGGAAGAAAAATACTTAAGTAAATTAGAACAGTCTTCAATATAGGCGCCAAAGGAAGAATCAGATGTCTCCTTCCGACGTAAGGCTTCCATTATCTCTAACGAGTCGCCTTCAAGGAATAATGAGTGCCACCCTTTAAATTTATGCCTTGGTAAGTGCATAGAGAGCTGCGTGGGCTTCGCCTTCCACGGCGGTAGGGCGGCCCAAGAATTTGCCAATACTCCACCAGATACACTTTCCGTTAGAATCTCTTGCCACCATAGCCGTTCTGTAGAAGTCCTTACCCTTTGGAAAAGCGACGTCGAATTTGACTTTCACGACACCTTGGTTCGAGGGAGTCCATGCCGTTTTGTGAGGTTGTTGTTTTAATGGGGTATGAATCAGCTGGGCTTCCTGATACGCCGAGATATATGCCGATGCCCATGATGGTAAATCAACATAGTGTATACCCCTCTCCCCGTGCTCTTCTTTGTTTCGGCTCTCCCACGCTTTCCAAATCGCTACTGTCGCCAAGAGAAATAGGTCCTTAGTTAGTCACTTATCCAAAAATTCCAACCAGTCCCACATGTTTGGAAATTCACCCAAGCTATCCAAGTTGAAGGGATGGCCTCTCCAAACACAAGAAATGCCGCTGCAGTTTTGGAAAATATGGACCGTCGTTTCGATTTTATCCCTGCAAAAGTTACAGAAGGGAGGATAGATAATGTTGCGACGGAAAAGCTCAACGTTGTTCGGTAAAATGCCTGTACAAGCTCTCCACAAGAAGAGACAATTTTTTGGCGGAATCTGAAGCTTCCATATAAACTTCCAGTTTCTAGCACAACCTCTATTTGATGAATCTCGTTGTTCATCCCTCATTAAAATGCTGTGATAGCAGGACATAACAGAGAAGCGTCCATCCTTCGTAAGACCCCAAATAAGTCTATCCTTAGCATGACTACAACCAATTGGAACAGACAAAATACGTTGAACATCAATCGCCCAAAATGATTCTTTAATAAGTGACACATTCCAGGACCGAGTTGAAGGGATTATGAGATCGCACACTTTGTCGGGAAAGCTTGTGTGTACAGGTCTCTTCGTAATGATTCTACCTCCAGCCTCTGGCAACCACAGATCATACCATATTGAGGTTGTACTTCCATCGCCAATTCTAACCTTAGCACCCATAGATAAAAATGAACGAGCCTTTAAAATACCCCGCCAGGTTGCAGAGGGTCGTGATCCTAAACTTGCAGACCATATACCCCCATTCGGAAAGTATCGCGCTTTAAGGTCTCGAGATAAAATGAGGTTGGGTTGAGTCCAAATCCGCCACGCCTGTTTCGCCAAAAGTGCCAAATTAAAAGTCCGCAGGTCTGTAAAGCCAAGACCTCCATATTCCTTTGCCATACACAATTTTTGCCAAGCCAACCATGCAAGGTGTTTATTTTTTCCATTACCCCACCAGAATTTTCGAATAACTGATTCGAGCTATGTAATAAGATTTTGGGGAAGCAGGAAACAACTCATTATATAAGCCAGTATCGCCTGGAGCACCGCCTTGATCACCACCTCTTTACCCCCCTTTGATAAATGTCTCTCGCTCCAGGCCCACATTCTCTCTCGTAGGTAGCTAAATATCTCTTTTTCCGTCCGTTCCAAAGAAGCCTGCATACCAAGATACTTGTCGTGGCTATCTACCACTCGAACACCGAGAATTTGGGAAATAGTGTCCCGGGTTGTCGCGGGCGTATATGGACTAAAAGTCATTGTGGACTTATCAAGGTTTATCTCTTGCCCCGAGGCCACCGCGTATTTCTGTAGAATGTTCTTCAGAGTTAACGCATTGGTTTCATCTGCTTTGGAAAAGAATAAAGTATCATCTGCAAAACAAAGATTAGATATTGTAGGCGCAGATGGGGCCACCCATACTCCATGCAGATTTCCGGCAGCTTCTTCTTTGCGAGACATAGCAATGAGGGCTTCTGTACAGCAGGTAAACATATATGGAGATATGGGGTCGCCTTGGCGGAGCCCTCTTGTGGGTTTGAGAAACCCGAACTGAGATCCATTAAATAAGAAGGAGTAAGAAACCGAAGTGACACATAACATGATCGGATCAATAAAAGAAGTAGGAAAACCCAAACGACATAATTTTTTTCTCAAAAAGAGCCATTCAACCCGATCGTATGCTTTACTAATATCCAATTTAATAGCCATAAAATTTGCCTTTTTATTAGGACTAGATTTAATGAAATGATTCACTTCGAAGGCTACTAAGATATTATCAGTAATAAGACGTTTAGGGACAAAAGCTGATTGGGTTGGAGAAATAATGTCATTCAACACTAATTTAAGCCGATTAGCGATAACTTTGGACCCAAATTTATATATAACGTTACACAGACTAATGGGCCTATATTCATTGATACGTTCAGGGGTTTTCACTTTTGGAATGAGTACAATGAAAGTGAAATTAAGAGAAGAGGGAAGGTTTTTATTGTTAAGAAAATCTAGGACGCATTTTATGACATCTGAGCCCAATATATTCCAATATTTTGTATAAAAAACAACAGGTAAACCATCCGGGCCAGGGGATTAAAGAGGTGCCATTTGAGAAATAGCATGGGTTACCTCGTCTGCCGTAAAAGGAAGGGAAATAATTTTTTTTGCCGCTCATGTAATCCTTGGCTCAATCGCCTCTAGCATCTAATTAATCGCAGCCTCTCTCGGATTGTTTGAACTAAATATGTTCTCAAAATAATTCGAGATAACATGTTCGATATCCTCCCTACTTTCACGCCAATGGCCGCTGTTGTCTCTCAGTTTATTAACCTAGTTCGTCTTATTCTGAATTGTTGCCTTTGCGTGGAAAAATTTGGTATTACGATCTCCCTCTTGCATCCATTGAACTTTACTCCGTTGCCGCCAATATAAGTCACATTCATCATACAATTGTTCCAATTGTGATTGGAGAGATGTTTTTTCAGCCTTACTCGCCTCGGTTTGCACACCTATCTGAAGAGCATAAAGTCGTTTGTGTATTCTTTCAATACGGGATTTAGGTTGCTTGACCACCGCTCTACTCCAATTTATCAATGCAACTATGCAAACGTCCTTCTTTTGCATAATATCTGCCATAGGATCCCCATTTATACCCCCGATCGAACTTTGCTTAATAACTTCTTCACAGTCGTCACGTTTAATCCACGTCGCTTCAAAACGAAATGACCGTTTTCTCCTATACGAGGGTGCTGTGAAAACGGCTTTTAGGTACATAATAATAGGCTTGTGGTCAGATCCAGGATAGTCAAGGTGTTGCACCTGCGCTGAGGGGAACAAGTCAGACCATAATCTATTTCCACAGACACGGTCAAGGCGGCATCTCACTGTATTCGGATCTTTACGGTTATTCGACCAGGTGAATGGAAAACCCGAGAAACCAAGATCTGAGAGGTTGCAGTCTTCCAAGGGAAGTTTGAAATTTGACTAGGCAATTTAGGATTTCCACCTTCTTTCTCGGAGTTGGAGAGAATCTCATTAAAGTCTCCACCTACAACCCAAGCCTTGTTATCCTGACTGTTGATGCTTCTGAGGATTTTCCACGATCGGTGTCGATTTTCTTGGTCCGCGAAACCATAAAACCCGGTGGCCCTCCAATTTTCCGATCCATTACCTCCCAGGACATCCACGTTAATGTGATTGCTTGACAAACTCCTCAAGTCGACCACCAACTCTCTCTGCCAGAGCATAGCAAGCCCACCCGACTTTCCAACTTTATCTACACTGACTCCATGCATATTCCATCTTTGTTTCAATCTGTCAACTAGTTGTGATGTTGCCCGTGTTTCCGAGAGAAACACCAATGATGGGTTATATTTTCGGAGCATGTCTCCGAGCACATGAATTGTCAAGGGAACCCCTAACCCTTGACAATTTCAGTATAAGCAACTCATTGAAGTCGGCGGGACTGCCCAGCAGTCTCCGCCGTTGACATAAGATCCTCGTCCCTCAAACAAAGTTGTTTTCGTTTCCCATCTGGTGGAATAATATTGTCTATCATTGCTTCAGCTTTCTTCTTCTTTCGGCTATTGCTTGTGATAGAAATTTTCTTTCGAGTTGTCGTGGTAAGAGCAGCGTTAGCATGCAACTGTATGACATTATCAATCAGGGTGATCTCCTCTTCTGATTCCCGAGTATCGTTCTCTTTATCCAGCTGAAAACCTTGTCCCGTATCTTGTCTCGCATGCTAGATTCAGGAGAAATAGAAGCACTTGGTGTGTTTCCTGGTGCAACAGCAATCAAGGGGGGTCTGGGCTTGTCAACATCTTTGTAATTCGAGACACGCATCCATGTTGTGACACCCATTTTCTAGTTATACCTAATTAGTATTTTAGGTTATGATATCGGAAGACTTTGAATATATTAATCGGGAATAGAAAATTCCGACAATTTTTTTTTTTTTTTTCTTTTAGAATCAGAGTAAGAGTGTCCACATATTACCAAACAACATTCACTTAATCAATTTCACAAACTATGCATGCATGACTAGACATTAAGTCCCATTTTAGCAAAGTGAGAGAATTTTGGACAGTTTCGATCTATCAATCAAACAAATTAATAACTCTCTAACCGCTCATGCAAAACACTTGAAATTTTTACCACATTCTCTACTAAGGGCCTATATAACCTAGTAAAAACAGTGTTTAAATACCTTGAGCCATTTGAAAGTAATAAATAAAATGGTACAACTGTACAGTTTAAAATCTAAAGCAGGGGAGTGACCTTTGAAAATTCTTTATAAATTCCCTACTGTTTCAAAAATCATCAAATTATATACTAAAGTACATTATTGAGTTAGGATTCCATTACAAGTGGAATAATTCCTTTTGAGTGAGAAAAACTTTGTATTTTATTGTAAATACTACAACAACTCTGTTTTAGAGCAGTGTTGAGAAACAATTCATAACTAATTCATGGGTTATCCAAATAATGCAAACGAACTATCAAAATGCACCTAGAAGGGATTAATATAATTCTGTAAAATTTCATGCAATAATGTATGGAAGAGATAATTAACACGAATTATCAAACTACTAGACAGAACATAATACACAACTAGCCGGCGGGCATTTTATAAGGTTTTTATGAAACTTGCCCTAAGGTTACACAAGTTTTTGAGGAAATACCATAACATATATCAAAAGAGGTAATTTTACTCCTAAGTAACATTACATATTATGCATCAATAGTAAGTTCCTCCAATAGGCGGGAGAGAACGATAATAAACACATAGAACGGTGTCGAATATCCTTAATAGCAAATTATACAAATAAAACCACATTAGTATATTAAGAGCACTCAAACTCCACCATGCCTCCATATGAACTCTTCTCCCGATCCACGAACTCAACTTCAACCACGATCCTCGGGCTCGAAATCGGGTAATCCTACAAGCAATTCAACACCTATATGAGTCTTTGAGACTCAATGAGAATTCCATAGAATATCAAACACACTTAGACAAGGAATTATATAGTCATACATATACAAGTATACATATACCTCAATCACTATTTCCTTAAGAAAATTTACCGATTTACCTTTACCTTCTCGGTTTACCTCTTAGACCTTTTCGATTTACCTCTTAGACCTTCCTTTCATCATTTCATAAGGAATAAGAGGAGATCCCTTACAAAGGGAGTCATTCTTTTACACATACATTTATTCATTTCAAGCAAGTTCACTAGGTGTGTGAGAAAAAAAAACATTTTTATTCGGATATCCTTTGGAAAAATCAAGTAAAACCATAGACAATAAGCCTTCATTTATTTGGAACCCGTTTCATAAGTGGAATCAAACCACACACTCTTCATCTCATTTTTGGGGTACCGGTCCCTCATACCCCGTGCTTATTCGATCTATGTTTTACAAGACTTTCCAATTTAAAAACGTGCAAGTGAGGTTAGTACATACTTTCATTCAATTCAAGCAACTTGATTAGTTGTGTGAGAAAAACACTTTCGTTCGGATATCCTTTGAAAAATCAAGTAAAACCATAGACAATAAGCCTTCATTTATTTGGAACCCGTTTCATAAGTGGAATCAAACCACACACTCTTCATCTCATTTTTGGGGTACCGGTCCCTCATATCCCGTGCTTATTCGATCTATGTTTTACAAGACTTTCCAATTTAAAAACGTGCAAGTGAAGTTAGTATATACTCTTCATTTCACATATTCAAAGTTAGCTTTCACATAAGCACACATATTTCCACATATTTCACAAAGGCACATAATTTAGTCACAAAATCACAAAAGCAAGTAAGACACATAACAACTCAAGCAAAGAACATAGATCACATATTTACACATATAGCAAAACAACTCAAAGCATCCGGTTATTTATAATTACTACAAGTTTCATTAATTAAAGTTCAAGCCCTCTTTCTCAAGAGACTTGAAGTTTTCTTTCAAGTAGCACCAAAATTCCATTTATTCCATTTTCTTTCCAAAATATTCGAACCATCAACAATTCAATCACACAAAATTCCATTTTTTTTTATTAATCTTGTCCTCGGTTTTTACTTCGTATATTATTATTACTCATAGATCATAAACCATGGATGGCAAGCTTCCTCGACCCGAAGGGAGTACACTTACAACCGCGTAGGTCGATATATATATATATACACATAGAAACATATACTTATATATATAGCACATATCGATTATAAATAAACCATGGATCAAGTACTTTCTTCGACCACGCAGGTTTACGAAAACCATGGATCGAAGTTTCCTTAAGATCACGCAGGTCTAGTATATATATATATATATATATATATATATATATATATATATATATATATATATATATATATATATACACATACATAAAAATAAAATTAAATTATCATATTATTCTTAGTTCTTCAAGATGATATCATTTAAAACTTAGATTCTTACATGCATGGATGATCTAACAATAAACAAGTAAAGTACTATAACTTCCCAAATTTTCGGCCATTAAGAATAAAGAAGGTGAAAGAAGAAGTAATATTGGTGAAGAATCACTCGTAGCAAGAATATGAAATTCTCACCTACTTTCTCTTGGGAATATGAAGGAATTAGTGGATTGAATAACCCACTACAAGAACCTTGAAGAAATTATAATGAAATTAGAAGAAAATATTAGGAAATTTTCGAAATTGAAAAGGAAGAAGAAAAAAATGAGAGCTTTCTTACACTTCTAGTTGAAGAAACTTCTTTTTGGAAATGAGGAGAGATTTCGAGCTTCCTACACTAATAATTTCGAAATGGAGGAGAAGAAGGAAGAAGAATATTTTCTTAAGAGCTTTAAGATGTGGTGGAGAAGATGAAAATTCACTTGGGTGTTGGGTTCTATTTATAGAGTTTTGCAAGCATTTGGGGGTGTTCTTGGAATTTCCTCTTTAGGTGGGTTGGATTGGAGATGGTTCTATGGCTTGAGCTTGAGTAAAAATGGAGTCTTGGTGAGGGGATGGTGGTGATGGCCGAATTTAGGGAGAGAGGAAGAAGAAAGAGAATGGGTTTCAAATGCTTAGGTGGAAAGAGAGAGAAAGTGGGTCTTGAATTAAAAGGTAAAGTGAAGTACCATTCTCAATGAAGAAGGTACAAGCCACTTAAGCCTTCAATTCTCCCAATTAATGAGTCTTTCTACATTAAAGAATTGTACACATGGAAAATAAAATCCATGTGTGTCTCCACATGGCCGAAAATTACAAGAAGAGTGGGGAAAGATTTATTTCTAAGTTTATTCACTCATTTAATTATCTAATATGCATGAATTTATTCTCTTTTTTTTTTTTTTTTTTTTTTTTTTTCTAAAAATTTAGTATGCATAAATATATTCCAACTATCCAAATTAAATTCTAGAATGCAATAATCTAATTAAAATATGAAATTTTTCAATTAGTTATTTTTCGTGTGAAATTTTCAAATATTCGATTCTCATAAATCAACTAATCACATAATTTAAGTCACATATAAAGTTCATCAAGAATGCATGTTTAATTATGCTAGCTCATAATAAATCATCCTATTAGCACATAAAAATTCTAAACGTAAAATCTACTTATGAAAATAATAAAAATATAAAACGAGTTATCCGAAAGTGCGGGGTGTTACACATGTTCCGTAAGGTAGGTCCTCCCCCGGATCCACAAAGTTATCTTCGTAGCGCATAGGGCAACGTTGTTCCCCATGCCCAATAATCCCACATAGAAAGCAAAATTTTGGTAGTCGCTCATACGTGAACGCCACCCAGATTCTAGTTCCGTTCTGTAGCATGAAGAAACAACCTCGTTTTAGACATGGGGTCACATCAAGTCGAACCTTCACACTTATAAACTGAGCAACATCACTTTGTTTCAGGTTCAGAACCTCAAGAAACTCTCCAATCCGGTTCACAATTTGCTGAATAATTCCCAATGATCGTTGTTTAATAGGAGGGTGATGGAATCTCATTACGATGGACATTAGATTGACTTCGAGCCAATTCGAATCATCTTCGGCGTGAAGATCGCGGAAGAGCAGTGCATTCTTATCCAAGAGCCACGGATTACCTTCCTTAGCGTGTTTGAGATCCAAGGGGTGGTTGAAAGTGATGATGAACTTATTAACCCCGATATATTGAAAATCACATCCTTTCACAGACTGCACGAGACGTAATACGTTTGCCTTGATGGTGTGGGATGAAATTTCTCTGTTAGTTACCACTATACCAATCAGGCGTGCCCTCCAGCCAAAACCCTAACTTCGTGTAGATTGGTCTCCACAAGAACGCCTTCTTCCTCCTCCGTGGTAAGAGTAAACTGTATTGCCATAGATTCAACAAGGCCATCCATGATCAAAGACAGAGAGAGGTGGATTGACGAGAGCAAAGAGCAAGGATTACAATTGCGGCGCCACAAATTAAAGAGCTAGGGAGAAGAAGAAAGAATAAAATAAGAAAATAAGGAAACTAGGTTAAGTCGGCAGACGACTAGAGAAACAAAACAGAAAACCCTAATAAAAACAAAGATTATGGACAATAAAATTAGAAAGCAGTAATAACACACGATCACGTTGTCCGGGCATGAAGAGGAAATGGAACACAAACACAAAATCAACCACCCAACCAATGGAGGAAAAAGATTTGTGAACAAATAAGAAAAGCCTCTTAGATGAGAGAAGATGCGCCTCTCAAATGAATGAGAGAATTTGGATGTCCTTCTTTTAATTAAGTGCCCTTGTCATGGGCCTAGTTGCCATTACCCCTATATTATTTTGATAGATAGCAATTTTTTTTAATATTTGGATCTCATTCATAGTGCAAACACGTGTATATTCTTCCAAAGTAATTATATTATTAATTATCATTAATTAAGTCCTAATACATCTTTAAAATATGAACTAATTAATCAATTTAAATTAACATAAATGGGATTGCTCACATCAGAATTCTTGCCAGTAAATAATAGTTCTTGAAATAGTATTGATATATAATGGGTATGAGTATTTTCGGATTAAGACAAATATGGGCAAATTCCTTTATAACTAATAATATTATAAGGACAAATTAGCAAGAACCCCTCATTTAGGAAATGTAGTTAAGAAAAAACTCCCTCCCAAAAATAATTAAAAATAAAAAACCCTTCAGCTAATATTCCACTCAAATGTTATTTTTATTATTCCAAACTTACTCTTAATTGTCCAATATACTCTTTCAAAACCATGATCTCATTTTTCATTTTTCATTTTTCATTCTCCTTTTCTTGTTTCTATCGTCTCTTCTCTTTTTTTTCTTCTTTCTTTATTTTTTCTCAGTTTTCTCCGGCATATCTTTTATCCGTCGTCGCCGCCGCCGGAAGATAGAGAAAATGCAGGAAGTCTCCACCGCCACGACCACCGCCTCTTCTGTCTCGGCGATCAACAGCCGGCTCGACGAGGTCAATCTGGTGAGCCTAGGGTGGAGATCCGGCGGTGTGCTGTTTTTTACCGTGCGGAATGATGCACCTATTAATCCTCGACCTGTATTGCCTCGTCAGTGTGTGGAGGAAGAAGAGGAACGGGTTGTTGAGAAAGAAGAGGAAGCACTCGTCGTCGGAGGAGAATCAACGGAAATTGTTTATGAAGGTATTTGTTTGTTTTTTTTTTTGTTTTTTTACTTTTATTATTTGTTTTAGTGTTAGTTTTGTCATGTATTCAGAAGTTATTTATGGATGGCCAGTAATGGTTGACAAAGACCTTGAATTGTTCCTGTTTTTTTTTTTTTTGGTGGACATTGAAATGCTAATTTGTGTTTTTTGTATGAATTATTCATTTTAGGTTGCGGCTATATGCAAGACTATTTCCACTTGTGCAAGACCAAATTAAAATTTTCAACGTATAAATACTATAATACCCTTATTTAATAAAAAAATAAAAAATTCCAAAGATGCAAGACCAAAAATTCAAAACACAAAAAACCCTATCACAAGACCACAAAACCACAAGACCAACTCTCATCTTCTCCATCTTCCACAACCCACAAGACCTTTCTCCTTCCTCCTCCATTAACCCACAAAACCTAGAAATTCAAAATCATCAAAACTCAACAAATCTTACACAGATGGCAAGTATGGAGTCAGAAGACATCAAAATAGAAGATTCTACGATGGAAGAACCCAAGAATGTATGCCTTTATGAGTTTTTTAGCTAGAATATCGATTTTCCAAAAAACATCCCGCGCAAACGAATTCGACATCTACAGGTCGAATTTTACAGGTAAAAATCGACATTTAGATGTCGATTTTGAGGTATAAAATTCGACATTTAGATGTCGATTTGGAGGTATAAAATTCAACATTTGAATTTGTGCTATAAATTCGACATGTCAATGTCGATTTTTACCTATGAAATTCGACGCTTAAGTGTTGATTTGTAGCATAGTTTTTCGACACCTTGGTGTCGAATTTTATTTTTTTCTCATTATTTGTATTTGGTCTTACATGAGAAAAAAAATCCAATTTAATTTATGAGCATACTTGTCATTCCATCTTAATAAAATAGAATCTTTTGGAATCTTTCTTTAATTTGGTCTTGCACAAGTGGAATAAGTATTGCATATAGCCACAGCCTTCATTTTATTCTTGTTAGGGATTGATTGAATAATGTGGTGCGGCAGCGGTGTGGTGACCATGGGGAGACAGATCTAGGATTTTTTGGTGGATCAGACAGAGGACGACGTGGGTGGAGAAATTCGCGCATGCTGGAACCTTAATCTACTACGTACATGATCAATAGTTGATTAAGTTTAATGAATCAACTATGCCCTGGTAGTCGATTAAGGTTAATCGACTCCAATTTTTATTTTATTTTTGCATTTCTTTTATTGATTTCAATTGTATAAATCAATTATAATATTTGCATATTTTTTGTTTTTGTAAAATATAGTTGATTTTGCAATTTTTTTGTAGTTCTGATTTATTATTTTTAGTAGTCAGATTCTTAATCGACTATGCTTCATAGGCGATTAATATACCTGATACCGAAAAAAAACGACTTTTTTTTAAAATAAAAATAAAAATATATAATAAATAAAGTATTTCCTTAATCGACTATGTTTCATAATCAATTAATAAAATTAATATAGAAAAAAAGGTTTAAAAAACAAAAAAAAAACGGCTGATGACCAGCGCATGACGCAATGATGATGTGGAGGGCGGGACCAAAATTTGAAAACTAATGGATGAAAATGGGTATGGACTTTTTCCAAATGGAGCAAAATATTTTGGGCCTCTCCATATTAAAACAAGTAATGGGGGGTTTTCTCAAAGAACCTCATATTATAAAGGTGTAGTTTTTTAATTTTAATAGATTTTTGTGCAAACATTTAAATTGAAAATATTCATTACGCATGAGCCAAACAGTATAAAAATAAATAGGACAAATCAGTTGCTCCTACAAGTGCACCATTAGATTCAATGGTAATAAAAAATATTATATAAACAATGACGATTCATAAAATAACACTTGGTACGACAAAATTTTAAATAACTATTTTTTATTAATAATACGATGTAAAGATAAAACGTAATAGTTTAATCGACATTCATAACAATTATTAAATTTTTTTGTACTGTCAAACTCAGACGAATATGTATTGTCAATAAGCATATTGTTGAATGAACAAAACGATTTCCAATCAAATGTGAGTGAAGCGTTAGTTATCTTACGTCTTATTGTTGTACGTACTCTAATATTCCTCTTTTACTACCGTAAATCCAACATCGATGTAGTTCTTAACAATCAAACCATGACTCTTAGAGAACGATTTACGTAGATACAGCAATGTATGCAAGTCAAAAAATGTAATTAAATATACTGATAAGTTTATAATAGATTTTTAAAATAAAAAAGAGTTAACTAAATATGATATTACCTTTCGTTGAAGATCTTGACGTAAACTTGCACCAAAAGGCGAATCCCTCGCCCCAAGGGCCCCCATCCCTTGGCCCGACAAGGATTGATGGAGGATGTAAATCATGGTAACTCAACGGCCCGTTAAGGTAGCGGACCCGGACCTCGTGCCCACAAGGAACCAACCCTCATTTGGAGTTGAAATTCCCACACTACGGCTGCCACGATTCGATCCTAGGACCTTGCACCAACTTACCACCTCCGGAGCCAGTTGAGCTACACCCATGCGGACATCTTGACGTAAACCTCCTCTCATAATACATGACCAAAGCATTACGATCTATTACATCAAAATAGAACTCATTTTCATTTGAAAATGGTTAATACATATTCATGTTAAGAGACCAATCACATTCACCAAACCTCCATATAGAGCCGAAATGCTCACGTTCATTCGACGGTATACACGTATCATGTATAAATTAACACTCACACAACCCACAATTGAAAAAAAGTTTTAAAATCTTTCGTTTCCATTATACCACATACCATACACGGCCTCATGCTCATTTCGACTTTGATGGATTCCCTGCATGGATCAGAAGTAAGATCAAAATAGTTGTTGCAAAGGGTTGTTGAGTCCATGTGGCTTACCACCTGCCCCGAAATATTTCATTCGCCGCGGGTTATCGACTCCCTAGGGGCTTATACCCGCCCCCGAAATATTTCGTTTGCCGAGTGTCATTGACTTCCTGGGGGCTTACCTCCGCCTCCAAAATATTAATTATTATCCGGTATCAAGTCATCCCACGTGCATAAAATAAACACATGTGATTAAAATAAAGATCGAAATCCTCAATGTTCGGTTCAAAATGATAGCTTCAATGTTTGGTTCGAAATCCTCAATGATCAAAATTATTGGTTGAATGCCCTGGGGGACGCCCCAAAAATATATTACATATATGGCAGAAAATTCCGGAGGTGATTGGCCGAGCTCTTAAACCGAGTCGACTCCCAAAACGTTATTGGTCGTCTATTATATGGTCTACAATTATCGGATCTCCTCACTTATTGGACTTCTTGAATTGTCCTCGCTTATTGGACTTATATTGTCTTCATTTATTGGTTCCCTCATGAAGTTCGGTTACTGGATTTCTTTTATGGATTTCGGACTTATATTTATAGTCTCCAGTGAACCACTATGTTCAGATCACTAGAGACTAGAGGGGAGTTGATGATGGGGGTCGATTTGGCAAACTATTGTGCTCGTATAAATAGTTGGGCTTAAGTCTATTGATGGACCATGATCCAATAATATTATGCTTAATGGGCTCATAATTAGGTCAAACCTTAAGAATATGTATGGCTTATAAATACACCACATTCTCCACCATTAAAATGTACGCTTTATTTACGCACGATACACACTCCTAGACGCACTAAATCACACGATCAAATCACAGATTTCACATCTTCTTCTCTATTTCATTTTCCTTCATTTTACTCTTTATTGAACTATTTCCCCATTTACTATTTTGAGTGTTGGAGGGTCTCCCCGGGGCTCAAGCCTCGAATTTTCAGGTGCACGAAGTAATTTTCTGCCGATCGAGATTGGGGAAGGTGTTCGAGAAGAGCCAATTTTAGTGAAGGTTTAATCGACCTCCATCACTTTAGATTTGTTTTCTTTACGTTTATTTCTTTTTGCTCGTGAAATGGTCGCGTCCGACAAGGAGACGAAGGGCGGGCGAGTGGCGGCCAAAAAATAGGTTGGACTTCTTTCTCTTTCCGGCACTTATTATTTTTCATGTGGGTTGTTCTTTTAGGGTCCATTTGGATGGATGAATTTGGAGGGAGATTTGAGATGACACTAATCTGGAGTCATTTGACATCCACCACAATTGCTTCTAAAATAACTAAAAAAAGGGTGTGGATTTGAAATTTTTTGTCAAATTCCTCAATCCAAATAAGTGCAAGAAATTTATTATTATGGATTTCAAACCCCCTTCAAATCACTCCATTCAAACGTACTCATAGTTTTTTTTCTTCCATCGTTTCTTTTTATTCCCCAAATTGTTGAGTTCTATTTTTCCTTTTTTTAATGGAGTGTGGGGTTGAAGCATATGATAAAAAATAAATAAAGTGATGGATTGTGGTGAAAAAATTGGTGGAGTTTAAATAGCCATCCCTAATATAATATTTGCGAGGTGCGTGGTCGTGTAGTAAATGATAATTTAGTAAAAAAAATGAAAATTTAATATTTTATTAGTTAATAATTTTGTGATATGATAACCTCTTATTCAGAGAGAAGATAATCTCGCATTTAGAGAGAAAAATGAACGAATGAAATTAAGAACACATGAAAAATGTTGCATGTAAGGTAATTCTTCAACTACTGAAGTTTGTATGGGCTCCACATCAGCATCCGCGCGCTCCATATCAACATCCGTGCATGGACTCCGCATCTGCATCTGCGCACGTGCTCCGCATTCGCATTCGCGCACGCCCTCCGTATCCGCGCATCCACATCCGTATCCGCGTGCATCGTATCCACATCCGCGCATGCGCTCTGCATCCGCATCCGCGCTCCACATCCGCATTCGCACATGCGCTCCATATCCGCATCCGCGCATGTGCTCCGCATCCGCATCCACGCGCTCTACATCCGCATCCGCTCACGCGTTCCGCATCCTTGTGCTCCGCTCGCACACTCCATATCCTCGCGTCTATCGTGCAACCAACGCGTGCGCGTCTCCACGTCTCGCGCGCTTGTCTCCTCCTTTCGCGCGCCTCAACGCGGCCGCATCACCGCCATTTGCATGCTGCAATGCGCACGCGTTTTCGCCATTCACGCGACGACATCTCCATTCGCATTACGCGCGCGTGCTCCTCTTCCCCGGACACTCCTCTACCGCGGGACCTCTATCCGCGCACGCGATCTCGATCCACGTGATCCTCCACCGTGCAACATCGATCCGCGAGCTTCATCTATTGCGCGACTTTGATCCATGCATACGACCTAGATGCGCACTTCGCTCCACAGCCGTTGCGACCCAACTCGATCGCCCCTACCACTTCGCTGCGAGACAAATCCCACGAGGAGCCAATTCGCTCGGTTCTACAACCCGCTGCGAGACAACTCCCAAGAGAAATCAACTGGCTTGGTACTACGAAACCCGCTGCGAGACGACTATCATGAGAAGCCAACTCGCTCGGTACTACGAACCCACTGCGAGACAATTCCTATGATGAGCTAACTCGCTCGGCGCTACCAACCCGCAGCGAGACAACTCCCACGAGTAGCCAACTCGCTCGACACTACGAACCCGTTTCAAGGCAACTCCACGAGGAGCCACCTCGCTTGGTACGACGACTCGATGCGGTACAACTCCAACGATGAGAAACTCGGTTAGAGCGACCTCAATCCGCATGCTCCTCAGTCGCGCGTCATCCAACGCTCCAACAACTTTGCTGCGAGACAAGTCTCGAGGAGACAACTCGTTGCAATCAGTGAATAAACAACTCATTACACAATCACCACCTCAAATTAGCACGATTATAACCCTAGGAACACTTAGAGATATTATGTGGATCTATATAGCCTGGTCAACTTGATTACTCAAATTTCTTTACTTGTTTTTTACGGTACTTCATTTAAACGTGGTCACGGTCCTAACATACCTACGACCCATGAGGTCTACTTGTTATAACAAGGGGCACGATCCCCATAAAAAAATCTTAAGAGTCGGATCCTCTCATCAAGTACATCACGCACAAGGCTATATGTAAACACATAAAAGCAACGCATCAAACCATTGACAATATCAATAAATAACAACTCCCACGAGGAGATAACTCGATCAACTCTATTACCCTGCGACAAGACAACTCCCAAAAAAAGATAACTCGCTCCGTGCTACTACATCGTCGCGAGACAACTCCGACGACTCAAGTAACATGCACCGCGACAACTTGGTCGCGAGACAACTCCGACGACTCAAGTAACATGCACCGCGACAACTTGGTCGCGACCCGCGCCACTGTCCCGAGACCCCGGCCACGCGCCAATGCGCCCCTCCGACCCACGCTCAAATGCGTTTTCGCACACCATCTAGCCATACACCTACGCAAGACCACTACAATTTTTACTCTCGATACGATCTGGAACCCATTCCGACATGGCCCCCACACCGACTCGAGAGTAGGGGGCTTAATGATATGCCTAATTGGGCCAACCCAATGGGCCTATAATTTGTTTACACAATGGGCCACGAACCCAATATTGAAGATCACTACCACCGAGGCCCAATCACCTTCATGTAAGGTTTGGGCCCGACAATCTCAACTAAGGTATAAATAAATGTTTGAAATCATTCCTTAAGGTATGTCCTATTATCTGAGCAATACTATAACATGTATTCTTTGAACTATTTCTACTATCCGCACGTCTGACTTGAGCGTCCGAGGGGTTTCCGCCGGATCAACCCCCGGCTTAGTTTACGTGTTCTATGATCGCAGGTATCTCAAGGTCATCAAGCTCGTGAGCCAATGATCCACTATGCTCTTTCAGCTCATCCTGCTTCGACTCTCTAAGATGATCTAACTCTAGCATCATCACATACCTATGTAGGTTCTTCCACCATAAAATCTTCTATTTTGATGTCTTTTGACTCCATACTTGCCTATCTTTCTAAGGTTTGTTGAGTTTTTCGGATTTTAAATATTGAGATTTTGTGGATTTATGGAAGATGAAGGATAAATGTTTTTTTTTTGGTTTTTGGAAGATGAAGAAAATGAAAATTTAGTCTTGTGGTTTTTTTTTTCGGTATTGTATCAATTTTTATTTTATTTTTTAATAAGTAAGAATATTATAGTATTTGTATATTCAAAAGATTAATTTGATCTTGCAAGAGTTAGCATTGCAGCCGCGATCTATACTTTTTCTTGGATGCAAATAAGATAATCAACTATCAAATAAGATTGACATTACAAGAACTTCAATTTAACAAAGATGTGATCACCCATACTAATAAGAAACACAAGAATAATTAAGGAAGAGAGAGAGGAAAAAACATGAATATTACAATTCTAGCAAAGAATTTAAACTTTAATATATAAAAGAACCCCTTAGAAATTTTCTTTATGGAAATCAAACTTTGTGCTTGTTTTCCTAGAGAAGTCATGAGCTAGCCGTCTAAGCTCCCCAACAAGCGTAGGTGGACCACAATAGAACACTCCTGTAAAAAACGTCAAGCCAAAAATATTCATCTAAATATACACATATCTCCCAAAACAAAACAAAAATTCAATTAAACTTTTCAATTGAAATATTTTTGGGAAAATTACACTTTTTGTCCCTCAAATTTACCTTGATTCCACATATGGTCCCTCTTGTTTACAAAAAAAAAATAGATTTAGTCCATCATATTTCAACAATTTAACACTTTTGGGAATTTACGTCAATTTACTGTTCGTCTGTTAGTTGAACTGACAGTAATAGGCACGTACTTGATTCTGTTAGTTTTAACAGAGAACTGACGAAAATGACAGAAACGTCAAATTATTGAAACATGAAGGACTAAATGTTGAATTATTGTGAACACGGAGGACCAATTGTGAAATGTAAGTAAACTTAAGGGATAAAAGTGTACTTTCCCAAATATTATTATTGGAAAGGAGAAATGCTTACCAACTCTTTGACCAGCATGGTTAACAGCCACATTCTTGAAAACCCGACGCCAATCGGGTCTCGCAAAATGCGTCTTAACCCTTGTCCCGGACACTATATCCAATCCCGTTTTAGCGTGCTCGAGAGACTGCAACATTGCAATGAGTGCCGACCGAGCGTCTCCTTCTTCGTACACACTCGTGCAATGGTTGTGAAGCTCGATCACACTGTCGTGGTCGTTTTCAGCTACCTCGTTCATCACCCCTCTAAACCACTCGAACGAGCCTTGCTCTCGAGTCACCCAATAGAAGTACGCGCGCCTCGTTGCGAAATTACTAGTCTTTTTCTTATCGCTCTTGATATTATTTTCTAATAAAGGCGACCCCTTTTCTATGTCCTTTTGTTGTTTGATGTTGTTGAGCACATCTTTCACAATGCTGATCAAAGGGGTGGCGCCGATTCCCAAGCCTATGAGGAGGACGATATCGTACTTTTTGTAATCTTGGGCTGGCGCGCCGTATGGACCGTCGATCAAGAGCTTTGGCAACCTAAGTGGTAAAAATATTTACATTTATTGAATTTATCTATACTGTTCTAACTTATAAGGCCTCGTTTGGCTGCCAAGATAGAATTAGACAATAGATAAGATTGCACAATCATTTGACAACTAAATTGTATAGTTGAACTAGGAGGTCCAATATACAGTTGCTCAAAAAACCAAGGTACAAATATTTTGGATCGGCACAAACAAGTATTAGATTGATCAAAACGATCATATTTTATTTTAAAAGAAATATTCAATTAGCTCCCCCATGAAATAATATTATTAAAATTACCCCTAAGGGTAATATTGGTATTTTCAGAGGATGGAATAAGAAAATATATAAGGGGCACAATGTAAGTCGACAACAGACTTCAGGGGTTTTTTGGTAATCAAGAATACATTTTTGTAATTTGACCTTAGTCTAGGGGCGTTAATCGTAATTTATCCTTAGTTAATTAGAGCTTAATTGCCAGCCAAACAAAACATAAAAAGGAGTACTCAAATGGTAATATAAGTTTTGATTACCTTAATTTGTTCGAACTAATCGGTCCGATGTCGGCTCGTAGGAGACCGCTTTGGCCATTATCGGGAGTGTGACATACCTAACCAAAATTTATGTATGATCAAAATTCATGTAGTCTGTCTGTAAAATGGCTAACCATTAATTATATGTAGTTCTCTCTATGTAAGAAAATTATAAATTCGAGAAATTAAAAAAACCTTTGAGAAGATCGCCTTGAGTTGAGACGTCCAATCGCCCCTAGTCCGAATGTGGATGCTAAGATAATCGTCTCCTGGAGCTGATGTAATCGAGAAAGGATGCCTGCATGTAAAACATTGATAATAACTTGTTAACAGAGTGAATGCTTTTCGAAAATGTACCAAAATTTATCGAACTTTTTTTTTTTTTCGCGACGAACTTACCATTGAAACGGAGAAACTTCGGGACAATTGACAAATATATACTGCCCACTTGTATATTTAAATCCTTGAGGTTTGGACATGTGCAAGGACATTACATTTCCAGGATATACAGACACCTGACAATATTACAACATGCACATTATTCAAATTAGATTTCTAAATAGTTTTTCTCGGTCCCGACTCAGGTGAAAACGTGTTAAATTATTAACTTGATAATTTAATAATTCGTTAAATTAATAGAATTTCCCTTGTTCTGTATTAATTTGTAAAGGTTTAACTGTGTCTATATATTTACCTTCAAAATCTGAACAGTCTTGTGGCCCGACCTAAAAGCGCGAATTAGTCGCTCGGAGGCGTATAATATCATCGGGACAGCAAGATACATCCATGTCTGCATAGAATTTTGTTTGAAAAATGTAACTTATCGATTATTACAGAGGCTTTATTGCATTCAACACTCCTGTGTTTATTCTAATTGCTAAAAAAAATCTCTCATGTTATTAAATTTAGCAAAAAACTCCTATAGTGCAATTGTTTTAGCAAACTAAACCTCACCGGTAAGGGGGTTGTGTGCTAAAAAACGCATTTTATGGACTTTTTTGCTAATATTAATAACACATGGACTCTTTTAGCGATTCGATACAACACAAGGGGTACTAAATGCAATAAACTCTTGTTACAGATGATGAACAAGTGATTTTCGAGATAGTTTGTTCGTACCGTTTTCTTGTACCATGTCTTGGTGATGTAGAGGAAATAGCCATGAACGATGAAGAGAATGTAGACTAGCACAAACAAGTGGTGAGAATACCAAAACGCGTTGAATCCCGTTAGATTTTTTATGGTTGTAGGTAAGTTGATCCTGTTCCTACGGAACCACGGTTGAGCTAATGTGAATGCTATTGCCATAAGCACCAACATTACGACTCCGGTCCATCCTTCCGTGCCTTTTACAAACCACCAATAGTTATTCGGCCTTTCTTCTCCGAACAACGGCTTCATCGGCTCGTATTCTGCATCGGTGGCGTGTAATAGTCGAGGGAAATCACATGTCAAATGTGAAATTACATGTAGCCCTGTCCCAATTGTTATACCAAGAGCTATTACCTAAAAGAAATTAATTCAAAGAATGGAGTTTATATATATATAACCAATATAAGGTATTTGCTATTTTGTAGGTTCCAATTCTATTGTTATACCAAAATGTTTAATACTCAATTCTCCAATAAAGGCTTGTTTGGCTAAACTTATTTTAAATATATATAGTTGATAAGCTCTTACGTCTGATAAGAGGTTTTAAGAGTTGATAAGCTAACATCTTATTTTTAGAATTAATTTTTAAAATGTTTGGATAATGAGCTTATTTCTTATTTTTACTCATTATATCTTATAAGCTTATTTTAACATCTTATAAGCTTAGTCAAACACCCTCTAAGTTGAGAGAAAAAACAAAATTGAACTATGTTTAGCACTCTTTTGGGGCGATATTTCGATTTTTTGTTTTTTTGAAAAGAATTTGAAAAGGTAAAGCAATATTTGTTTGTATTTTAGTGAAGACAATTGTTACTAACTTACCGTATCGGTAGTCAAATCAAGTTAGAAAGAGAGAGATAAGTTTTTGATTTCTCAATCAAACAAGACAAGTTCCTATAAAAACATCGATTTTCTCGTACACGAAACAACGTACCTTGTGAAAATTAATATTGTCATCGAACGGAACAACCGAGCCAAGCTTTGTCCGACTCCTAAGCCACGTCATCGTATTTCTGCAAACCGGCAATAGTATTAAGGCCATATTGAACTTAAGCGTTTCGGCTCCGCCTTTAGCCGTGCAGACGCAATATCCCATAACATGAAACACAGCCTTTTGTTTGTATTGGATAAATTTCCAAGTGAACAACCCTCCACAAATTGCTAACCACACTACCATCACCCAAATCCTCTTCCAATTATCCTCCACAAAATATGCCTTCTTTCGAAACCATCTTTTTATCGGATTAAACTCTTTTGTGAGCTTCAGCTTCTGGCTTAGCATTTGGCTTAGAACTCTGTTTTCCGTCGTCGGGTTCGAAGAGTAATTAGGGGCTTGCACAAGTAGTGTCTCCAAGTTTTGCAACTGCATACAATTTTTTTTCCCAATAAGTCAGGATAAATAGTCGATTAAAAAAATTTAACAAAAAAAAAAATTCGGCTTTTCGGATTCTTAAATTGACCTCAATGTAACCACGGTTATCGGGATCGAGCTCTTCCATGATGAGAGCTGCATATTCATCTGCATGGTCTTGGATTTTTGAGAGGTTATTTGCAGCAGCACTAAGTGTGATGATCTGAAAAAGGCCTTAGTTTATTTAGTTAGTATAATGTAATTATATTTTTTGACAAATTACGGCCAACCCCTAAGGTAAGGTTAAAATTATGAAAAAACCCCTGAAGTTTGGGTAATTACAATCATCCCCTCAACTATATATCGTCTTACACGTCCATCCTTACGAAGTGAAATTTACCTATTAAAGGAAGGATTTGTTGTAAGACAATATATAGTTGAGGGTGGTTGTAATTACTCAAACAAAAGGGTTTTTTTGTAATTTGACCTTATCTCAGGGGCTGGTCGTAATTTAGCCGATAATTTATGGACTTATTATTTAAGTTTAAAAACCTTACCTCTTTCACTTCATCTTCCATAATTCTCCCATCAGCATCCTTGTCTACCCTGCATTTTTCATAGAACTCTGTATTTATATTCAACAAATGAAAAATATACTATTAGCCAAAAAAAAAATCCACTTATTTTTGTATATTATAAAATTTAAAATTATTTTTGTCTTAATAAACTTGTTAGTAAAATTTAAAAAAAGAAAAAATTGTAATCACATGAAAATAATAAGCTTAATTACATGTCAAAGAAAGTTTCCAGCCTGGCATCAAAACTGGCATCTGTAATCTGCTCCCAAAACTGATAGAGCTCTCCCTCGGTGATTGAATCCGAGACGATGCATCTCTTTCGTGCTAGCGCCTCGAACAACTTATCTGCAAACTCGCTCGATTCTTTCATTCCTATACATCAACATATCACGAATATTCATCAATATTTGATTCATTTTAATCGATGCAAATAAAACAAATGATCATGTGACGGACAAAACAAAATGCAACAAACACTAGCGGAGCCAGGATTTTAAATATGCTGGATTTGGCGGAGGGGCGATAATGTCTATATAAAATAATAGGGATTTTGAGAAATGTTGGGGGGCCGTGGGCCCCATGTGACCATACGCTGGCTCCGCCACTGGCAATAAAATACATGGTACAAAAACGAACCTATGCATTGGCCGAATAGCGATTTGTGAAGAACCCCACCGGCGGAAAGTTCTTTGAAGCGCTTTTGAATGTCGGACCATCCTTCGCTTCCGATATTCTTGTTCATAAAACGAAGGCCTTTGAGCGCATGCACCGTGCCTGCGGAGTGGCTTCGATCGAGCTTGTAGTTACTAGAGCTCTTCAAAGAGGCCATTCGAGTTAGTTCGCGCGAGACTTGCCTCATGCGAAACGAGAGCTTTGAGGCGAGAGAATTAGGAGTTTTATCGGCCGATAAATTTTGCTCGGAAGTTGTTGTGACGCCCCGAATCATCGACACCTCGTCATCCTTAACATCGTGTAACGCTATCTCGACATCATAAGAATCGTCGTTATTCTCCGTTCGTACGCTCCTGCTTTTTAGCTTCTTACTGCCTGTGACGACCAACGGGCCGCTAAACGAAACGTGATTGGCACGCTTGACGTTGCTTTCTGCTTCCGAGAATGTGGCTTCATCCATTTTTGCTTAATTTGGAGAGAGAGAGAGAGCAATTATGTAAATGAGCAATGGTCAAGAAGGATAGACTTGTTATATATATATAATATATATATATAATCGGAATCGGAATCAGGGGGCGAATTGTGTGTTGTTTGAGGAATGTTAAGCAGTTTGGGCAGTTAGAAGTGTTCAAACATGAGCACCTAAGAATGTACTGTCCTGTCCAAATCATCATTTTTTTAACATGTGTAGTTCCTAGTTTTCTTTTCCTATACAAACCAAAAAAAAAGTTCCTAGTTTTCTGTCTCCACACTTTTTAGTCTTCCATTTTAATTTCTAACACCTATATCTACACTTTATAATATTTTAAACTACAATTATATCTCTATAAATTTTTATTAATTTAATGAAATACTTTTTAGCGCGTTGTCGGAAATTTTTATTTATTTAAATGAGGTTATTAATTTATCGTATAGTTTGAATTATAAACATATTCCTTAAGAAATATGGGTCATTATAAATAAGCCCATCACTGGGTACTTATTCATATCCAGACAAAAAACTCATTTACCAATAAGTCCACACATGATCCAAATTTTTGTAAAGGACTAAAATAACCCCTCATACTTTAATATGCTCCAATTTCATCATTAACTTAATTTAACCTCAATTTGACCCAAAATTTCACATATTATTCAATTTTGACCCAAAATTTTTTTTTTCAATTTTTTTCCCGCCGGATTCCGGTGCTGACTTTTCAATTTTTTTTTTCTTCCGAATTTTTTCGCCGGTCAACACGGGTCTCTGGTGTTGACTTTTTCGATTTTTTTTTCTTTTTTTTCTTTTCTTTCTTTCTGTAACTTTTTTTTTCCGCTTAAACAGCAATATTGCTGTGATTGACAGTAATATTAACTATATTACTGTTAAACACAGTAAAATTAATTAAACTACAGTTTAACACAGTAATATTGCTATATTAATCTCTAGTACCGTAATATTAACGCAACAAAACTCATTATTGTTAATAGAGTAATATTACTATGTTGACCGTTCAACAAATGTAAACATAATAAAAAGCCAAAAGAATTAATATTACTGTGAGTGAAAGTAATATTACTATAACAACAGTAATATTACCGTCAACCACAATAATATTACAATAATAGACAGTAATATTATTACGTTACTTCGTGAATAACTCAAACAAACAAAAAAATCCAACCAAAATAATAATATTGATGTGGTTGACAGTAATATTACTATAACAACAGTAATATTACCGTCAACCATAGTAATATTATTGTATTTACAGTAATATTACAATAATAGACGGTAATATTATTACGTTACTCCGTGAATAACTCAAACAAAACAAAAAATCCAAAAAAATAATATTATTGATGTTGTTGACAGTAATATTATTGTGTTTACAGTTATTTTACTGTCAACAACAGTAATATAATTACGTTGTCTTGTCAACAAATCAAAAAAAAATAACAAAAAAAAAAAATAATAATATTACGTTAATTTACTGTCAACGGCAGAACAATTACATAAATGTATTGTCAACGGCAGTACAATTACGTTAATTAACTGTCATTGACCGTATAATTACGTTAATTTACTATCAGTGACAGCACAATTACGGTCAACGTAAAAAAAAAGCCTTGAAAAAACACTAAAAAAAGGTCAACGCCGGAAACCGGAAGAAAAAAAAATTGAAAAGTCAACGCCGGAATCCGGCGGCAAAATTTCTTTTTTGAAAAAAAAAGTCAAAATTAAATTTTTGTGGTCAAAATTGGATTTTTGTGGACAAAATTGATTAGATTGGGGTTACAAATAAGAATTGAGGATAAAGGGTTGGGGGTAATATTGGCATATACATGAATGTTTTCTTTATTTATAATAAATATTAAAGGGATGAGCTTATTGGTGAAAGAGATATAGCCCATAAACCTAGAATAATAAATATACTTGGTTGGGGACTTATGAAAAAAAATCCCTAAAAAATATAGTATTACTGAAAAGTACTCCCCTCTTTCATTTTGATTTATATAAGAACTATTTTTAGGCTTATGATGGAATTCAGACCGCTCACAATACTTCATTTACTGTCGAAAATTCAAAATAATTTCTATAACCAAAATGAAACTCAAATTTTTGAGAACGAAAATGAAACTCATTCAGAAATATTATTATAGCAATATAGATTATAAATTTGTTATTATTGACATCTTAAAAGAAGATTTTTTTTTCTACTTCATCTAAATATTTAACTAATTTTATATATAAATGAAAGAAATACTATGACAACTCTAATCAACCTCAATACATTTTTGTATTTATTTTTGTCATAATAGTGTAATATTTTCTTTTTCATAATTAATTTTGTCGTGTATTTAATAATTAATTTCCACTTTTAAAATATTATCACTTGACAAAGTCAGTATATATACTAGTTATATTTCAAATAAGGTAAATACTATTTAACATTCCTTGTAATTGTAATATCAACTCATAATTTATCTAAAAAAAAAATAAAAATAATAATCAACTCATAACCTCCTTCTCGTTAAAGTCAAATTTAATTGTGCATGTCAAACTTCAAGGGGTCATCTGCAAAAATTAAAGGGAAAATGTAAGCACAAAAGGGGTCATACGCAAAAAATATAGTATTTTGACGTTTGACACGAGCAATTACTTTAGACGAAAATACTAACAGACGCTATCCCTATCAACCACATGGGGTTATAACTTAATATTACGAACATAAAAAGTTCATCTGCAATATAATCACAGGGGATTTAAACATTCTATTTAACCTCTAAAATAAAATCCAATATAGTAAACCCATATAGAGCTAGAGACCCAAAGTAATTTTATTGTGTTATAAAAAATAGGGTAAATTACAAACACCCCCTGAGGTATGGTCAAATTACAAAAAAACCCTCTTGTTTGGATAATTACATCTACCCCTCAACTATGATTTTTTCTTACCCTCCAGCCTTATGGTGCCAAATTCAACATAATCATCTAGATTATGTGAAATGTGCTCTAGTTTGTACTCGTTTTGTGTAAAAATACAGTTTCCGATGCACCACAAATTGATATATACAAGCTAAAAATCACATATTATGATCATCTTGCTTCATAATGTAGAGTTTGAATGGGATAAAACGGGTACAAAAGTGATAATATTCCATATAATCTCGAAGATTCCACTAAATTTGAGGAGTTGAGGGGGTGGTTGTAATTATCCAAATAAGAGGGGTGTTTTTGTAATTTAACCATACCTCAGGGGGGTGTTTGTAATTTACCCTAAAAAATATTAAGTCAAATACCCTCCTAGTATACTCTGTAAATTTTTTGCGGGTTTGTATTTTACTAAACACGTGTATAGATCCATAAACATTTTACGCACATTTATATTTATTTACGTGTAAATTAAATATGAAAAATAATCGGATAAAATTTACCAAGTCCAGATAATTAGAATATACTATAAAAATGTACTTGTAGTCCACAGATATGAAATATGAGGAATTGTAATTAGTAGAAGTATGTACCATGTCTACAAGTTGCACGTCATTATTATATTTATATACAAATTCATCATTATATAATTTATAGTCACAAACAACTTATGAAATTTAATTCTGTGGGCGTACTACTAATTAAGTGCTGTATTACCTAAGGAATGGGTATTGATTTTTATTAACTATTGATTTATTATATAATATTCTCGTAAAAGGGAAAAAAAAAAGATTATATTATAATATCGTGTAGTTAAGTGGAGGATGTGTGGCATAAGGGGGTGATTGAAAATTAAATCATTAGTTGACCTAATGCTTATTATGTTAATCTTTTTGGCATACAAATATTTCTAGAGGGACTAAATGCAATAGAAGTTGGTAAGGGATTAATATTACTTTGACATTCAAATAAAATAATCTATATGACTTTGACCATTCAAATAACGGGGAAATGAGTGATACCCCTTGTTTTGAAAATATATATGAGGAGGTCCAATAAATTTTTTTCTCCTAGTAAAAAACCCAAATCCTGATCTTAATTAGTGAGACCCCACTAGACAATTTAAAATACCTATTTTGCCCTTTTAATTTAAATTCAATATATACCATAACCCTAACATTCTCTCTTTCATCAAACCCACAATCGCCGTTACATCACTCTCTTCATCTCTCCTTCTCTATCTCTCTCGTTCACTCTTTTCTTTCTTCGAAATTAATCTCCACCAAATCTGAAAATAACATGGGAGGCGGTGCGATGAGAGCAGCGGCGAAGGTTGCGGGAATCATGGTGGAGAACGGCGGTCTGCGTAGCTTCACATCGTCGGAGCACCACCCGTTCTTCTCCGCCACCCGATCGAAAATTTCTTCCTGCGTCGGCGGAAGACGTGAAGCGGCGGCGGCGGCAGCCCAGAAGAAGCCGAAGGTCGGCAAGAAGATAACGCCTGCAAAGAGAATCGTCGAACGGAGATCGACGACGATTACGAGGAGAACGGGATCCATATTCCGCCGCACGGGATCCCATTCCAGGTAGACAACTACCCCTGGTGATAATCTAGCCGTAAGTCTTTTTTCTTCATATTTTATTAATTTATTATTTTCTCTGAATTTTCCTGTTCCAATTGTTCAATATATATATTAATAAAATGAATGCAGAGGAAAACTGGAGAGAGAAAGATGATTTTGAGAGGGTATGCTCATAAACTCACCCTCTCTGTTCAATGTGTATATTAATAAAATGAATGCAATAAAGGAAAAATGGAGAGAGAAAGATGATTTTGAGAAAGATGATTTTAATTTTATTAATAATTTCAGTTGTATTGTGTTTGATTATTTTCTTTTCCTGTAATCAATTTCTTGGTGAATTGTTTGGAAAATGGATATTGAGGAAAAAAAAGGTACATAACTACATGTAATTATTAGGGTAAATAGCAGTTTATTGGCTTCTCTTGCTATTTATGTTGTAAGATTGAGTTCATAAAGTTTCATGTTGCTATGATCTGATTGTGTTCATTGTGCTTTTGTTGAGTTGTAATGCAGGGTGATGAAATTGTATATGAACCTACAATGAAGGAAGCTAGTAGGTTTGTTTTGATTTACGGCATTCGTTTCAGGATTTTATCAACCGAAGTATCATGAAGAGAAATAGAAATTCTAATAATGCTCTCTTTCTAGTAATGCAGTCCACTGTTCAATAAGAAAGTTGTGCTTCGGCGACTGGTTAGCAATCAGGCGCAACATAGGGGAAGAAGGGCAATAGAGGTATGCTAAGTTAACACATTAGTAAGTTACATTTTGAAAATGGTGATATATTGTCCGACTTTGATGTCTTCTTGGTGAAATTACATTTAGGTATTGAAAAGACTGGCTCACCGTAGAGTAATGTACCATTCTTAGTCGGTTCAAGTTCATGGCTATATATGTTCATCCACAAATAATGACAGTGGTTCATTTTCTCTTTCTCAAAAAGTCAATCTAGAGGGGTGCTCCCGTTTTCATTGATTCTGTTAGTTAATGTGCTAATGATTTCATATTTCCAAGATGATTGAGGGTCTGAATTATTTTTATGTTCAGTATCATGGCAATTCTTCTTTGAGACATTGGCTTCAACAAGCAGATTGGCTACCAACTCTAGAAGCTACTCTCGTGTTGGATGATGAGTCTGTCAGGCGAGTCGGTGATGATACAGTGGGAGGACCGGCAGTTGCTCGACAATTACGTCTTATTCGAAACTCGGCTGTACTTGTTTCAGTGTAGGAGAGATTTGCGCTATCAAGTCATATATAGTCACACGTGGTCATATACATATAGTCATATTTAGTCACGTGTAGTCATATACATGTAGTCATATATAGTCACGTGTAGTCATATACATGTAGTCATATATAGTCACGTGTAGTCATATACATGTAGTCATATATAGTCATGTGTAGTCATATACATCTAGTCATATATAGTCACGTGTAGTAACTCGTAGTAATATATTGTTATATATAAGCTATATAAGTTATGTGTTTTTTGTTTTTTCTGATGTATAGTGATGTTGATGATTGTGTTTTTCCAATTTTTTGTTGGGTATTAATTGATTTATAATATCAAAATTAAATTGTGAATTTTTGTTTTTGGTGTAGATGAAGTTTTTTTTATATAATCATATGTAATATATATATACAATAGTCATGTGTAGTCAATTTCAATACAGTAAATTTATCAAAATATTGAAACAAAATTAAAAATTAAAAATTAAAAAAATTAAAAAATTAAAAATTTTAAAAAATTAAAAAAATTAAAAATTACAAAAAATTAAACAATTTTAAAATACTAAAAAAATTAAAAAATTAAAAATACAACAGAGGTATATATAAAAAATAATAATAAAATAAAAATTTATAATTTTTTATTAAAAAAATCTGAAAATATGATAAATGCAGGTCTAAATGTTAGTTGCAGTTGATCATAATGCTGAATGCAGTTAGTAAAAATACTGAATGCAGTTGGGCAAAAATTAGATATAAGGGCACAATAGTACTTTTGCCTCTCCAGGGGGTTATCTCAAAGGAAGAATTTTAGGGGTGAACTTATCCCTATATATTTTCCGTATTAAGGGTGTATATCAAATGGACCCTTCAAATAACTATAGACTGGGAGTCACTTGACATATATGTCGAAAATTTTCAATAATTCGCCGATTACGTGTTGAAAATTAAAATATATATTTTTTCTCACATTTTCGACATACGCGTATCGAAAAAAACAATAAAAATTTGACCTGCATGTTTGTTGAAATTACGGCTGCACTTTGACAATCTATCACAATGTAACGGATTGAATCTTAGACTCCATTTGCTCTCTCTTTTCATAGTTGACAATTAGCTACAATAAGATTCACAAAAATATGAAGATAGCTACGTAAGGTGAGGCGCGCACTAGGCCGCTCTCTTAAGATGAATTTCACGGGTCCTTCTCTAATGAGGTGCAGAAAGGTTCCGATCGTGTCACATATGGGATACAACAACCCAACCTATCTCTCCGCTGTAACTTCACCGAAACTGCACGTTCAAGTGAAGTAGAAGCTTACACCCGAAACACAACAAGTGCTCAATATATGTGTATAATATCGAAAATATATGATCTTTTGAAAGACATTTTTCTTTAACTCTTTATGTGCTCTCATCCATTTTTCAAGCTACAAAGCCCCCCTTTTATAGTATAAAATACGCTCATCATAAAAGCTATATTTCATCTTGGTACAAGAAAAATTTATGGATATTTTATGAGGCAAATAAAGTTTTTGTACGTTTCAAAATATTGGTCTAAATTACCTCATAAATTGGTCAATGAGAATATTATAGTAAATATTATTTTTACTAAAAAAAAAAACCCCAACAATGTTTCCGAAAATGGGGATGGGTTCCAAAAAAACTTGAAAATCGACTTGCAAACTCAAAAAAGACATTGATATCTTAATAGGTTCTCTTATCATATAAACTACCATTTGGTTGTTTTGTAACTCTATTTCGTATGTTTTTGTGAGAAGATTTTTATTTCTTTGGATTTTGAGGATTTTTTTGGAGGATTTGTGAAGAAGAAGGAAATGAGTATGATGGTTTTGTGCGCGTGATATTAAAGAAAGAAAAATGAATTTTTTTACGTTTGTGTAATATTAATTTTCATGAAGGGTATTAATGTCATTACACATTTATTATCTACTTTTTATTAATGTGGTATTAAACTATGAAAAACATATAATTTAAAATAGCCGCCCCTTAAATAATAAGGTTGGTCCTGAACTATGATCAATGGTTCGGTCCAGTAAGATGGATGGACCCTTAGTAGGTCAATATATATAGGGAGAATTACACTTTTGGTCCCTCGTGTTTGGCTCGATTCCACTTTTAGTTTTTATTGTTTCAAAGTAAACTAATTTCACCTTAAAGGTCCATTTTTAAACAATTATGGTCCACTCCGTCACATGGCCGTTAGGAAGTAATGGAAATTACTATTTTGGGATCGAAATTGACGACGAGGAGAGGTGTTTTGCGCTCCACAAACCTTATTCTGCGGTCCGTGAGTGGTGGATATTGCGGCACAAAATGGTGGTGGTTTCGTGCCCCGCCATGGACGATAATGGAGAGGTGGTGGTGGTTTGGTGTCCCCCACCGTGGACCATGGTGGGCAATGGTGGTTGTTTTGTAACTTTGTTTATGATAATTAAATATATTCAATTTAATTTTTTATTTATACTTAATATTATTAAGAAATTAATTACAAATAGTACTTACATTTCTAATAATCTTTCCGTCTCAAAACAATTTTAAATTTTAATTTCAACCCCAAAATAGTATTTTCGTTACTTGCTAACGTCCGTGTGATGGAGTGGACAAAAACTGTTTAAAAATGAACCTTTGGGGTGAAATTTGTTCACTTTGGAACAACGGGGATAAACAATGGAATCGGGCCAAACATGAGGGACCAGAAATGTAATTTTCCCATATATATGTACTTAGTTCAGATTTTTTTTTTTTTTATCATTGTCTAAAAAAATCGGGGATAAAGTCTGGTTATTTTTAGAATTGGACAAGTCTGGTTATTTTTGTTCTTTTGGAAATAATAAATTTAGTCTTTCTCTAAATTCAAATAATGTTGGCACTGGTTCGTTATGTGTTTATGACAATCTATATATGCTTGAAACTATTGCATCATATAATGAAACTTTGCATGTGGAATCACGTGGTACTAAACGTAAGCTTAATAAAGAAAATTCGGCTAAATTATGGCACAAGCGTTTGGGTCATATATACAAATCAAGAATTGAACGACTTGAGTCACTAGGTATTTTGGATTCACTTGATTTTTCAGACTTAGAAGTCTGTATTGAGTGTAGTAAGGGAAACATACCAAACATAAGAAATTAGGTGCCAATAGATCTTCGGATGTCTTAGAATTGATACATACTGACATTTGTGGACCATTCCCCAAGGCTTCTTGGAATGGTCAACGATATTTTATATCATTCATAGACGATTATTCACGTTATGGGTACCTATATCTTATGCATGAAAAATCTGAGGCATTGGACATGTTCAAAAGTTTCAAAGTTGAGGTGGAAAATCAGCTCAACAAGAAAATTAAGTGTGTTAGATCTGATCGTGGTGGTGAATACTACGGCATATATGGCGGTTCGGGTGAACAACGTCCAGGGCCATTTGCTATTTTCCTAGAGGAATGTGGAATCGTCCCACAGTACACCATGCCGGTTTCTCCTAACATGAATGGTGTTTCTGAAAGACGAAATAGGACTCTTAAGGATATGATAAGGAGTATGATTAGTCATTCTACATTGCCAGAGTCACTCTGGGGAGAAGCAATAAAAACAACAGCGTACATCCTAAATAGAATACCAATTAAGGCAGCTGCAAAAACACCTTACGAGCTTTGGACTGAGCGAAAGCCTAGCCTTACGCATTTTCACATTTGGGGTTGTCCATCTGAGGCTAAGTCTTATAGGCCAAATGAAAAGAAATTGGACTCCAAAACAGTTAGCAGCTATTTTATTGGTTATTCCGAGCGATCTAGAGGTTACAAATTTTATGATCCACTATGAAATCAATTTTTGAGACGGGTAATGCAGTATTTTTTGAGGATGTTGAGTTTGAGGGGAGAAATAAGGTTAGAGATATTGTCTTTGAGGAGGAATCAACTACGATTCCTACTTCTGTTTCTGGCAGTGTATAGGTTTCTTTACCTATCATTGTTCGAGAGGCAGATATGGAACCTCAACAAGACAATATTGAACAACTTCCAACTCAAGTTGAGGTAGTTATTCCTGAAGAACAAACTCAACAACCTCAAGAACAAGTTCCAATAAGGAGATCCACGAGAGAAAGGAGAAATGCTATTCCGGATGATTACGTAGTATTTCTCCAAGAACATGAGGACATAAATGGATTCGTGGAAGATGATCCAATCAACTTCCACCAAGCCATGCAAGATTCTAACTCTCAAAATTGGATTAATGCCATGAATGAAGAGTATAAGTCTATGCAAGAAAATCAAGTTTGGGATCTTGTCCCGTTATCAGAAGGAAAGAAACCCATTGGTTGTAAATGGATATTTAATACCAAAAGGGATTCGAAGGGTGATGTGGAAAGATATAAGGCTCGTCTTGTGGCTAAAGGCTTTACTCAAAAGGAAGGCGTTGAATTTACAGAGACTTTCTCTCCAGTTTCATCGAAAGACTCTTTAAGGATAATGATGGCTCTTGTTGCGCATTTTGATCTTGAGTTACATCAGATGAATGTTAAGATGGCTTTTCTCAATGGTGACATTGAAGAAACGATATACATGGTGCAACCAGAAAACTTTGTGTTTGGTGACCCAAAACATATGGTTTGCAAATTAAAGAAATCCATCTATGGGCTCAAGTAAGCTTCTCGTCA